GGAAAGAGAGGACATTTTCAAGAATGATTTGGAGGGACTGCAACTCATGCCTAGCGAAGCAAGTGAGGGAAAGGATTTGGGTATATAGCAATCACCACTAAAATGAGTAGGTAAATGAAAAGAAAGGGGTGCTTAGGGAAAAGGAAAAAAATTAGGAAGTAAAAGCAGAGAAGTATGATTTTAATTGTTTAGTCCAGGAAAATGAGTTTCAATTCCATGCAGAAGGTGAGAGAAAATTGTGAAGGAATTTGAAAACTGGCAAGATGCAGTCAGAGTACCTGGCAAAAGCAGCACATTTTTCACACAGTATTTTACACAAGTTAGAATTGGGTAAGGTGATACTCCCAGGAAGAGCAAACTAACATTTTCTATCAAAGATTATTTAGTTCTGGGCCAGTATTTTGGCACTGGATGGAATTTTGTATATATATTATGCAATGTTCTCTGCATTGGGGACTTATTAGGATGTCTCTATTTTTAGTTTTAAAACTTGTGATGCACTTCATGTAACTTTAAGGCCCAAAGTTATTAAATAGATGTGAGGTGGAATTACTGTACATTTTTCATGCTGTATTTTACTTTCTCCTTAGGTTACGCATTTGTTTGATAATGGAGGGACTGTTTTCTTTGCTATTTTTATGGCAATATGGGGTAAGTCAATTTTCATTCCTTACATGTAGTTCACTTGATTTTCTATAGCTGACCATTCAATTTTACTTTAATAATTTTAAGAATATGATTTTGGCAAATATCAGTGTGTTGATATTTTAAATGAATGTTTATACGAATGATAGATTGAAAATATACCAAACTGACTTTTGTTCCAAACAATAGCCATAAAAGGAAATAAGTAGGGGTACACCAGTAGAGGTTTTTGGGACTGATAACAATAGCCAATTTTTAAGGAGGCATATCAGCTGATACTGATCTGATTTCTGACACACAGCCCAGCAGCTTGAAGAGCGAGCCCTATTGACCAATACGGATTTGATTCTGATATGCAGCCCCACAGTGTGGAGAGCGGTGTCTGGCTGGTAAGTCTGTTGTGGTGGAAGAGGAGGGGCGAGGGAACGGGTGTGGGGCGATAAATCAAGGTCCCCGCGGTAAGGTAAAGCATGGGGCTTGGGCAGGCACTGCCCAGTCAGGGTGGAGCAGGGCATAGGACAGAGCTGTGGCTCATCCGGAGGGCATGAGAAGAGGGGGAGTGGCTTATACTGCAGCATGCACTCCGGGAGGGCATAGGGGATATGTGCACCCAAATCTGTGCAGGGCAGGAGTGGGCTGCCACTGTTTGCTGGGACTGTGGCTGTGTCGGGCTGTTCCTGGTGGGGGGCTGGGCCAGACTGTGCTCGGGGCAGGCGGTGGTAGCTTTGGAAGGGGAGCTACAGAGGAGGCTGCAGCCACCCCAAAATACACAAAATACAACCCTCCCTCCCAGTGCTGCCACCACCCACCTCAAGTGCAGCCCAAACCAGCCCCCACCAGGAAGACCCTGGCACAGCTCCAGCCTGCAACGGCAGCCCACCATCTCCCCATGCACCCTGGATGAGCCGTAGGTCCATCCTGTGCCCGGCCCCACCCTGGCTGGGCAGCACCTGCCCCAGCCCCAGTCCGTCTCTCATCGTGGGGGCCTTGATCTGCCCCTCCACACACACCTCCTTCCTCCCCCTTCCCCTTTCACCACAACAGACTTACCAGCTGGATGCAGCTCTCCAAGCTGCCAGACTGTGCTCCTTGTCACCTACATGCTGTGCTGTGGCTGCGTGCATGCACAGAGCATTTATTGGCCACATTATTGGCCACATCAAGCAAAAAAAAATTCCAATACAGTGAATTTTCTTTATATCAGTGCCGATCTGATGTCGGATCGATGTATTGGTGCACCTCTAGAAATAATGTTGTAAATCTGTGTTTTATGCCATCTAGGTATAATTTTAGGAGAATCCACTCATAGTGGATAATTTACAGAGGCAAAATGCGGATCGAATCTGAAGATAATTTTATTATCATAGATTATAAATCCTTATTGGAAAAGTATTCTCCCAGCTGAAGAGAATGCGAAGAGGAATAGTAGAAGTTTTGGCAATCCTGATCCATCATAAGCAGGTGTATATCTCACATGATTGGGTATCCCGTTTGGCTAAAACAAATACACAGGCAGCTTAAATACAAAATTGAGATAATCTCTGGGTGTATAAACCTGCAGTGTGCACACTTAGTGTTTGCAGCAGTGCCAGTTGTCTGTTGACTCTACATCTTTCTGCTGTAGGCTCACAGTGGAATGGTTCCAATTATTATTTGGTTACATAAATATCTAAGTACCTTTTTTTCTTAGTAGCCATATGCTTCATCCTTCTCCTTGTAGGCATGTAGTGCCCACTTCAGTTCTTTCTGTCATTCATGTGGTACCTGGGACAGTTTGTTCAGTACCAGCATACAAAGTAAGGAAAAAAAATCCACCTGAGCTATTCTGGATCCTCCCCCAATCCTAAGGAAATTTTCTCTGCTATGAAAACACTGGTAGCTTCTTGAGACACCCCCCTTTTTAACTCTTGCTCCCTGTGATGCTCGATATAGGATAGAATAATAATAGAATAATATAGATGGCATAAAGAAGAAAATCCATTTCTATTCATGACCAGACTCCTGACTGCTGTGGTTTCATGGATGATCCAGCATTATGATGAAAACTTTAATTTCATTTTCCAATAGTCAGAGTTTACCAGTGCACTGAGTGTAAATCCAAAACTTCATCTGTCTGTGATGAACACAATCTGATTCAGTAGCCTTGTTTTCTTGTAATATGCATATGCATAGTAATATTCTCAGGGGGTGCTCATGGGTACAGCTCTTTTGACTTGGCTCATATGCATGCTAAATGATGCATGTTAAAAGACCTACAATCAGGAGCATGTCCCATGCATCTGGACCCTTAATCTTTGAGAACTTAATCATCCTGTGGTTCTTACTGGTAATGTTCTGCTCTCCTAAAGTTTTTTAGATATTTAAAGATCTTAGTGCTGGATATAAATAGATAAACTGTATTATTACCTTTCATAATATCACTATGATTTTATAGACACTGAATGAAACCAGCACACTTCTCTGGATTCTTTTGTGCTTTCTTCCCAAAGGAAATCTATTCCCTTCCATCTGGAGGTAATTATTCCTTCCGTGTAGCCCATCAGAATATGTGCTGCATCACTTCTTCAGCTCTTACTCTGCAATGCAGACAACATACTGGCTGATACAGAGAAGTAACGACCTTCCTCTTCATTCATTTGGCCTCCCTTCTATAGCATTTGTAATTATATCAGTATTACCAAATACTTCCTATGTTTCATTTTTCAGCAAAAATTCACTTTCCTCTGACAAACTACAAGCTACAATTAATGTAGTTAAAACCAATCCCTTACAATTTATTTTCTCTGGAAGATGCAAATATAGAGTGTGGGGGAAGGAAATCTCTTGTGTTACTGATCCAGTGAAAATGACATTTGGACAAAGTGACCTTTCATCAAAATAGTCAAGATAGCTGTTAGCACATTGGTTAAATTTTGCCCTGTTACATATTTACAACCTTGACTGAAGCCAAGGAGATTGCACAAGTGTAACTGAAAAAAAATGTCCTGTGTGGAGATTGCTAATATTGTAACCTGGGAGAGGACAAAATGTGTTCAAAGAAAGATGCAAGTCTGAGCAGTAAATTAAGTTTATTACAAACAGGTACAGTGATGCTCCAGCACCGTTTATATCTAATGTGTCTCAATTTATCTTATAATTTCTGATACATTATCCAACCCCTTGAATGCTAACAAAGCCATAAAGATTACTGAAGGAAAGATAAACTTAAAAAATACCAACAGAGAAATGTTGAAGAAATAAGACTCATAGATGAGTTTGTAATCTGAAACTAGCATCTGTGATTTTACGTTGAAGGTTGAGATGAAGCCATGTCATTCATTGGAATGCTGTCATCTAATCTCCCTCTGCTGTCCTGTCCTTCTGACATTGTGGTGGAGGGACTGTAGTAAGACAGATCTCCAAAGTTCAGATCATAAGATCCTGGTGAATTATCTAATCGGAGAACTGGGGGGAAAAAAAAGGACATTTTGATCATTATGGATTTTTTTATGGTGCTTACCCCAAAGTTTCTCAGAATGTTAGCTTTTGTTTTGTAAAGTCTCTGGGGAATGGAAGTCTTGTTATCTCTCCCTTTTTTTTTTTTTACAGTTAGGGAGCTGAGCCTGAGAAACTAAAAACCCTATTCAAAGTGCACTGAAGTCAATGAATATTGTTCCATATAAGTCAGTGGGCTTTGTCAGGTCTCAAGCGACTTACTCATGATTAAACTGAGGAAGCATGTGGTAGAGATAAAAAATACAACCCAAATATTGTGATTATGTAGCTGGTGTTTTACTGCAATATTACCTTTACTTTCTTAATTTAAGAGAGAATTTCTCTCTTGTTTACTAAAAAGATTTACAGTTCACAGATTTATTTATAACTCCAAGAAAGAGACTAAAAATGATATATGAGTAGTTGAAATCAAAACTGGTCCTCATACTATGCTATAATATATTAAAATTCTTCTATCTCAGTTTCTGTAGTGTTAGGAAAATATTTAAAATACAAAAAGTATGTTTTACATTCTGTTCAATCAAAAATTTGATATGTACACTTTGGAAAACCTTGTGAATTTATAGTAGATTGTTTTAACATCCACAGATATGTGTTTCTGTAACAACATAATACAAAATTTGTAATTGTATAGACTGGTAAAATCTTGTTTGTGTTTAATCCTTACTGTAGTATTATTTTTTTAGTTATATAGCTTTGTGCCTACAAATTCATTATATCCTTAGTAGTAAGATGCACAAAACAGGACACACATAACAAATCTGTATTGTCACTATAGTGGTAGCCAATATCAGGGCTTCCAGGTCCTGTGCCCTGTATTTTGATCAATATAAAAGGGCAATGTAGTGGTGGATTTTCCAATTAGCATTGTCCTTTCATTAGGTGTACATGAGAACATGACCCTTAAAGTATTAAAAGAGGTTTTAAAAATAAAGAGAGGAAAATTTGGGAAGGGAACCATGATATCTACATACCTACATATATGTATATGTATATATGTAACACATCTATCTACATATATGTATATGTGTGTTGTCAGTTCATGCCAATAGATCTACCTTGTCCTTAATTTTCTCCTCATACAATTACACTTCTATTTTATTCAGTCAGGGTTTGTAAAAATTAGTAACAATGTGTACTGTTCCAATAGTGGAAGGTTAATGAGTAAATGTTAACTTTAGTGGTGCTGATGATCTTATGAGATATTAGTGTGCCTATTGGCTCTAATTTTAAATAAACGGAACATTTGTTCCATATCACATGGAATTTATATGATTACTTTCTTACTTGACCTCCCTTTTTAACTTCTCTGGACACTGATGTTAATCCTTTGGTTTGGAATTCTCTCACCTAGAAGGACTATTAAATAGGTATAGAGCTGAAAGAGCTGGTTCCTTAGTCTACTTAAGCATTAGAACCCGGATGCTCTGGGCCTCTCTCCAACTGATAGATAAGTACTGGGAATTCTTACTAGCTGGCACAAATTAGGGAACAATCTAGAGTGGATTCAGAGGAAACAAGAGGACTATAGCAGCCTCTTGTTCTCCACTGCATGTGATTGAAACTGGGTGCATGAAAGGAATTTGTCCATAAATACTGTATTAATAATACTTTTAAGTGGTGGCATGTGATTCAAAGTTTACACTCCTAGGTTTAGTTTGGATGAACATTTAAAATGTATACACTATTCAAACTACACCAACTATCCAAGATGCGAAAGTCCACTGTCTTGTGAGGATAGGATTTGGGATGAGATTTTCTGATGCTCCATCTTTTTCAAACAGCCAGAAATACAGCTCTTATTTGTTGATACTTCAGTGCTGCTAGTTCTGGGTCCCAGGAGTGCATTGAAAATACTAGGGAAAAATCAAGTGAAGAGTTCAAACTTTTAATAGAAACCTCCAATTTGAAAATCAAATCATGAGATTTGTATTATTTTATGATTTATAAAAAGGTACAGAAAGGGTTTTCTCTTTTTTCATTTTGAACATTGTTTTCTTAAAGGGAAGATTTAAAGGAGAGGGAGGCATTGTTTGTTTTACCTGTTTATAAAAATCCTGATTTTCTTGCAAAACTTTGACTTAAAAATTCATAGGACAACTGCATAGATACAAAGGAGATTAAATATGATAAACTGAGAGGCAGAAAGTTTATTTTTAGTCAGACTTTTAAAAGCTCTCCAGAGCAGATCCTGAGCTCGTGTAAACAGCTTTAGCTTTACTAAAAGCCTAGAGATCAAGTGGTTTACATAATGGTGAACCTGACCATTTTTGTTAACATCTGTATTAAGTGAGTATCTAACACTTGGAAAAGCTCATTGTTTAAAACATAACACTTCTTAACCCTCAGTGAACAGTGTGAGTGCGCTCTATATTTTTGAACTTCAACGAGTTTTTTTAGCAACATTATTGAAAGCTAGGCTGTGCATTTCTGATAGTACTCAAGTTTAAGAAACAAATAAAACCCTTTTCCAATTTTTAATAAATTGATATATAAGAAAATCTGTTAGTGAAATCTCAGTGCCATTGAAGCAAAAATTATAACTTACATAATGTAAATGAGACAACATATCACTATAAGTCCTCTGTGCAGATATAGGAAATCCCTCGTTTTCAAAATATTTGCATTATCTTTACCTGGATCACTCCTTGTATCATCATAAAGTCTTTGATGGGAAAATGGTTCAGACTTTCTCTTCCCACACATAAAATATCCAATTAGACCAATTAGTGCAAATCCCAGAAAGGTTCCTACAGTGGCACCAAATACTATTCCTCCATTGTAGTGTTTCTCTGGAGAGTGGAGAGAGAGAGAAATTAATCAAAATAGAAATTACAAATGGATTGGTTAGTTTTTCAGATACCCTTTTATATCAGATGAGGACCTAGGGCCAGTTTCTGTTTCACTTATTAGACACAAAAAGGAACTTAGGTGCTTAGCTCCTGCTAAAGTCCCTGAGAAACAGTTAATGCAAGGGTGAGTCAGTCTTCCTTCTTGCTGTTTTTTTTTGTGTGTCAATCTTTCTTTCTTTAGTGACTCCAAAGGGCTGTAGGAACTTGGGCTGGCTTGGATAGTACCTTCCAAATCTTCTTAGTTCATGGTCTAGGTATGTGTCTTCTTTGAGTTTGGACACTTCAGTTTACAACAGAATGTGGCCTAGTTTGTGTTGTGCTGGGCAGTTGAGGGGGTCATGTCTGCATGACAGAGGATGGATGGCTAGTCCTAAAGGAAGGGTATTGTGGGGGAGGGGTTTTCAGGCTCTTGGATAATGGCTTTTTGTTACAAGAGTTTCATGCCTGGGCCCTGGTGTGGTCATATACTTTTCTATGTTTACTTTTGGTTTTACATTTTTATAATACAGGTTTTTAAAAGTCTTTCTTCCACCCCTGTTACTTTATTTATTTGATTTTATGCCACCCTTGCCAGTAAAGCTCAGGGAAACTTACAATGAGAGAACATAATAAGTTAAAAACAGGAGAGCAACAAGAGAACAAAAAAGACCTTTCTCAAATATAAAAATGAAACAGAAACCCCCAAAATAGCACCTTATCAAAGGTTTGCTTGATAAATGTCTGATGAAATAGGAAGGTTGTACAACACTTCCAAAAGATGTCTGGGTTTGGGTACTGGTGGGCCTCAAGTGGGTGGGAGTTCCAGAGCTGACGAGCAACTGTGAAGAGTAATCTTGCACGCGTTTTTGCAAATGGACCTAGCATACTGATGATACTTTTAGGAGGTTCCTCTCAGCAAGGGTAAGATAACGGTGTGTTAAAAAAATATTTTCAGGAACTTGAACAGGATGAAATAGAATTGCACTGAAGCACCTAGGTTTGTTTAGATGTCTAATAAAAAAAGGCAGAATCTGGATACCTGGTGACATGAAATATACATCCATTCACCTACTTCATGAACTCAAAGCATTTAATACAAAATGGTTAAGTGGGCCTCTCAGTAACCTCTTGAATTTAGAACTATTCCCAGAGTCAATTGTAACAGAAAAGTTCATTGTCAGACAGGAGTTTGACTAACAGCTGGGAAAAGAATTGAGAAGTTGTGATTTCCAGTCACTTGGTATAACGATAAGGCCATGCACTATCCTCTGAAAATTATGTACTTAGCCAAATCTTTACAAATATACTCTATTATTTTAGGCATCTCAAGTTTTGGCCATTTAGATTTAGAAACCTTAAAAAAAATTGACTTTACTTTTTTCAGTTCTTTGGCTAACAAAAATGACTTTTATAAAATCTGAATTATAAAGTTTTCAAAGTATTTTCTCTTTTCTGAATTCAATCTTTTTGTCTATTGTATGCCATTGTAATTGTAAAGGGAAACTAGAAATCTGACGATAACTTTCAGTTCTTATATACTTTATGTGCTAGAAAAACTTTATATCTTCTATTAAGATCTTGCAGGCAACCTTCGGTATTTTACATTCTTTTAAGCTACCTTTTCTTTTATTGAAGTCCCAATCCATAAGTACAAAAGAAAAGTGCTGTCTTGGATTGTAGTCTATTGTTTCCCCAGACTAGGTAATAATAAAATACTATAATTTTATAAATTGAGACTTTGGTCACAAGTTTTCTAGACTCTTGTGGCCATGTCTACATGAGATACTGGCTGCACCGTCATTACTGGACAGTCATTTAGTACTTATATAAATAAGTACTAAATGAGTGCACAGTAGCCCGAGTTATGCCTTTATGCCTCAATTCCAGATCTGTATTGGAGATATTTCCCTTTCTCTTACCCTGCATCAGTTTTATTTTAGAGCTCTTTGGAATATTTCTTCCTACGTGTATGGACAATGTCTACCACTGTGTGTCTCTTATCTTGGTAGGGGACTTTGATTTCATTGTAATGATTGATGCTTTTTTATAGCATTAGACTTCACCACTGAATGTTATCCTCAACTTTGCAGTTGAAATTTGTTGCATAGAACTTAACTTTATGTTGAAATCAAAGTAAATGCATTAATATTAGTCTGCAGCTCCACTGAAACCTGGAAATGCAGAAATGTGTGAACATTATATTAGAGGCAAAGATTTTTGTGGGCAGTGTCTTTTATTGACCCAACTTCAAGGTTGGGATAGACCTGGAAAAGCTTTCAAATGCACTGCATTCTTCTTAAATTCTTCTTAAAAGTTATCTCGGGGGGTGGGGGGGGGCGGTTCAAAGCATTTCAGGTAAACTCACATTTATCTGAAAAAGTTCATACATTATCCTCCCAAATAAGGTAAAAAATTTCAGTTGTCAGTATTATAATTGTTACATTATTTGACTGTAATAAAACCTCTACCTTTACTAGTTTCTTTTGGATATGATGAAACAGTAGAACTGTTGGTCAAATTCTGATGTACACTTGTAGCATGTGAAATTGTTTTGAAGTCTATTGTGGGATGGTCACTCTTTGAAGTAGATAATATAGTTGGCGAACCATTAGTAGGAGTTGGTTCTGTTGGGTTCAGTAGAGAGTGTTTGGTGGAGAGTACTGTAGTAGAACTGAGGTTGTAAGTGACTGTAATGAAGTGGTTTGTTGTTTTCGGCGATTCATTGCCAGTTATGCGTATGGTGCTTGCAGTCATTGTATTATTAACAGTTCTAGATGTTGCTGAAGATAAAATTCTGTTGGAGTTTGTTACAGAGATACTTGTGCTATTTCTTGTTGTCTCCATTGCATGCAGAGTAGAAAATAGCCTGATTCCAGTAGTTGTGTTCTGAGCTCTGCTGTTGCTTTGAGTGTTGTTCTCTGTTATGGTATTTCTTGTAACTGCATTTTCATTGGTGGTAGGTGATGTTGTATGGTACACAACAGGAAGAGTGATATCAGTAGTTCCAGGAGGTCTTGGCTTGTTTAAAGTTCTTTGTATTGTAGGTGGAGCTTTAGTTGTGGATGAGATATTGTATGTAGTGCTATTACCATTGCTTCTGCTCCCTTGTAAAATAGCCAGCAGCAAAATAAAAATAATTCCACAGGAAGTCTGCATAGTACTGACTTTCAAGGTTTCTTTCTTAATGGAGGAAGTAGCCTAAAAGAAGTTAAGTTGTGTAAATTATTAGTTATGGGAAGTAGGGAAGAATAATTAAAGACCCAGATATGTTATGTTTCTATCAACATACTATAAAGTAGAGATTCATAATGGTAAAGTTTGATTTTTTTGAGAACTTAATAATAATAGCATGGAATCATAGGATAAGAAAGAGACATCAGAGGTCATCTATTCTAAACTCCTGAACAAATCAAGTATGTGCTATTTGCTTACTTTCCCAAATGCCTCATACCTAAGTGGTACGCTTCCAAGTATCTGCTGATTTCTAGTTGGGTAGAAGCACTGTACCCATATGCAGGAAATAAGAGCTATATCTAGCTCACAAGTTAAGTAGAGTTGTTTTTTTTTTTTTAATTTTCCATATTCCAAGCCAAATTAGCCAAAACAAATTCCAAATCTGAGAGTCAGTCCAGAACTGTAAGTGGCCCTATTACCGGCAAACATCTTCCACCCCAGTCTGGGGCTTCAAATGAATGCAATTGTTACAGTTTGTCTTAGAAGATGAGGACTCCTCTTACAGTCTTTATGACCTTGTGGGGATGAGGATAACAAAAATACAGCTACTACCAGGTGACTGATGACAGTTTAATAGCCAAGCTAGCCTACAGAGTTAGTGGAGTTTTAGTGTAGACCCTCTTCTGTGCTAAACTAGAATCTATGTTTTGTGTCCTGATTTTTGTGTGTTAAGCTCCTGATCTACAGTTCCATAGATTTTAGATGCACTGTCATGTGCTTATTTAGCTTTTCATAAATAGTGGAGGACAGGCTATCAATAGCCCCCAGGCATCACTTCTGTGCAATCCTCCCTTCTAGAAAGGACAAAATAAGGTGAAGTCCCACCTTCAGCATCAATTTAGGTGCCAGTGAGCACGTTTGCACAAGACATTTACTAGTTTCTTGTGCAGTAGATTAATTAGTTGTGCAGTAAATGTCTCAGCATCTATATATGTGCCCATGAACAGTGCATGTCCCCGGTGTCTGGGGGGGCACAGCTGTACCAGTGGTGCTGGGAGCGCAGTGGTGGGAGCGGTGAGCAGAGAGCTCCCACAGATGCCGCTGGCGCTGTCAGCGGTGGTGGGGGGAGCATGGTGAACACCGACCAGGGGTCAGTGACCACCCACAGGTGCCACTGGCAGGGGGTGCACCACCTTTGTGCAGGTGGTACATCGCCATGTACCACATCTGCATTGCCCCTGCATGTGCCCCTTTTAGGCCAGCATAAACTAATTTACTTCATAGTACAACAGTACTTGTAAATGCAAGTGTTATCCTGCTGCAGAGTAAAAAACTGCATAGCAGCACACGTGTAGATGCTGAAGGGGCTGGCTGGTGCACGAGGGTGCTTTAGTGCAGGGGCTGGGGAGCAGCTGCAGGCTGACCCCATTGCCCCATGCCAGCTGGGGATGCTCTGACCTGGCTCCATGTGCTATGCATGAATAAATGGTGGAACTTATTGCTCTAGAGTTAATTGCTCCCAGGTACATGTTCAAATGGTGTGCCTGGGAACAATGAACTCCAGGGCAGTAAGCTCAGCAGCTTATTCATGCATCATGATTGCACAGTGTAGTTGTGCCCTGTGGGAAGGACATATGTAACCTAGTGGCTTCTTTCTTTTCACCCCTCTACAGCTACTGCCCGGCTCTTTACCCTTTCATATATGAAGGTTTTTGTTCCTTTCTATATTAGAGTTGTGGGTGAGGAGAAAAAGGCAGAGGGTTTATAATAGTATGTACTAAATTCAGCCAGCACTTCTGTGTCACCCTCAATCATTTGACATCTTATAAGATGATTTAGTCCAACAGGAGTGGATTTATAGAACAGAATTTTATCCAATATGCTTGTAAGTATATTTTCTAGTTTGGCAAACTGACCATTCCTCAAATAGAGGCTGGTCATCTAACAGACAGGGGTTGTGCTAGTTAATTTTTTTCAGCTAAAAGATAAAACATTGCTTTTATTAATATTCTACAGAAAAACACTCAATTTCTGTGATGTAATTTGCAGTTTAGAGGTATTTTTTAAAGGTTGAGTCAAAAAGCTGTAACTGACTATGAAATGCTGCACACTATTACAATAAAAATTGCTTTGTTGCCATTATACTTGGATATTGGGACATTTAACAAACAAAAACAGTATAACAAACAAAAAATGTAACTAATTATCTACCAAGCTTCCAAATATTCACTTTCATTTTAAAAGTACCATTTTTTTAACTCGCTGCCATGACCTTTCCTTCCTTGTATCAGTGGCCAGGTCTTTGTTGAACAAAGTGAGTTTTGTCATATTTCTCATTTCACCTTGACTGCAATTTGAAACTACTAAGGGGAAATAATACCAGTTTGTTTTAACTGCACCATTCATTTTTCTTGCATAATGCTAGAGAGTCCGTATTTCTACTGGACAAAGTGTGTTTTGTAATCCCCTTAATTCTCTAATTTTCCTCCTGGGAGAGGAAAAGGATGAAAGCTCTTTACCACAAAGTGTATTTATAATAGTCTGGAGCTATGTTTAGCTGGGTTCTCTGGAAGACCTTTAGTATCTAATTATTAACTGGTCTTTTTTTAGTACAACATTAAGGTTCACATAACTCAGAAGAACACTGTTGTCCTCCAAAGACACTCATTGCTCTCACAGCTGACTGTATGCTTGTTGCAGTACAACAGCAGGTATTATGCTCCTAGTACTGTGGATTACTGTGTGAACAAAAGAAAATTAGCTGTAATCTAAAAATGTTCTAATTAGCTTGAGCTACTAATAGACAAATAGAGGTAGGAACTGAATATAAATGAAAAATTATTACTGCTTCTGGTCTCACAGAAACCATCCAAATAAGTAGTGAAGCCACTGAAATCAATGAAGTGAAGTTAATTGCATGTCAACCAGGCTTTCTGCCTTACAGCTAATCAACACTGCAGTGAAATTTAGTGACAACTAAGCTGGCTTTGAACAAGCTTGCTTGGGTACTCATATAAATTGAACCATGGCAGCTTGGAGCTCAAGACAAGCTAACCATCCCAGTATTTACCCTGCTGCTTGGAAGAGGTTTGCTGCCTGCACATGGCTAGATGCTTCCGGTACCCAAACCAGACAATTTAAAGCTGTGTTAGGTTTGTTTACACTACACTGCAGTTAAAATGGTGATATAGCCTCAGATTCTTTCCCATTATGTACATACCCGTGCCTGCATAGAATCCATGGAAGCCAGTGAGCATCTGTGTGCACAGGGGTTCATCATTTCAGGATTGGAGCTTACAGATGAAATTACATATAGATCCCTAATTTAATGTAGATGGTTTGCCAATTTGGATTTGCTTATGGGTTTTGGACAAGCTCTTTCTATCATACTTTTTATTATTTTTAGTTTAATGTCCATATCTAAGAGAATGGCTACAGAAACTTACTCTTTGTTTATAAAAGTTAAAGCTTCTGTCTTTATTTTATCCGTCTTTTGAAGGGCAGTTCTTAAACTGTGAGTATGCAATAGTTCCTCTTGTTCATACCCATGCATATAAGTATGCATATGCAGGGAGAAGTCCTTGTCCCACTGAAGTTAATGTCTTCACTAGAACTAGTCTTCTACCCACAAATTTTATGGTAAATGTCTTGTTGTTATTACCTAACTTTTTTTTTTTCTCCTTTCCATTTCTCTGGTTTAAGTTAAACATTTTTTTTCTGTTGGTTAACTATATCCAGTGGGATATAGATAAAAACAGGCTAATGGTTTCTAACAAGGAATTGTCTTATTTATATATAGAATGCATTCAGTCATTCGTTTTTGGTAAACTCTTTAGAGAAACAGAAACCAATTTTTGCCAGGGTATAGGAAAGGATTTATATACAGAACTCACACTGGTTAATAGCAGATGTTATACATACAAATCTGTCCTATCAGATGAATTGACGCTGTTCAGTTACTGTCTCATGGGAAAATGACAGGTGTAGCAGGGCAGCTCCACACCCAGGGTAGCATTGGCTGCTACCATGCTGATGGTGGCAGCATGGTCGGCTGTTTCTGTGGTACTGGCTATTTTTGCTGCTCCTTCCAACAAAGGTGGCACCAGGGGCTACTGCTTCAGTCCCCCCAGTTACATTACTTGAAATAATGTGATATTCAAAACTATATGTTCACATTCTTATTCACAATGTTAACAAAATCTTATTCCATTTGTTTTTCTTACTAATCCTTGTCAAGCTTTCTGATTCCTATAGGAAATTGATAGATTTGTGACCACGTATCGATCACATTTCTGTTTGAGTTCTGTAGCAGAAAGTGTGGCTATGGACAGAAGTTACACATAAACCAGTTTAAGTGATCAGAAACTGGTTTAAACTTGTAACAGAACAGAAGTTGGGTGCACATAAGCCACTTCCAAAATGACCCAAACCGGTTTAAGATAAACCTGCTTGGATGTAGTATCAGACTTAATTTAGGTCAAACTGGTTTATGAAACTTGTGTCCTAGATCCCTTCCTGGTTCAAGTTAACTCACAGTCCCCCAGCATCCCTGGCTGCTTTGCAGCCCTGGGCTTTGCTGCCTGCTCCCGTGGAGCAGGGACTGCTTCAACCCTCTGTTCCTTAGTCCGCTGTCTGCCTGCGTCCATCAGCCCATAGGGACAGAGGGGCAGGGGAACAGACCCCCTGACAACCCTAGCCAGGGTCTACACAGCACATGGGGGGAGGGAAAGCCCCTGTGGTGGGGGCTTTTTAGGTCCTGGCAGCCCTCCCCCTCCCCCTTCCCAGCTGCTAATTGCTTCAGCAGCTGCCCCAGGAGGAGGGAAGAAGAAGTCCTCCCAGCTGGGTGCCTGCCCTTGTAGAGCAGGCACCATGGGGCCCCTGCCTTAGGGGGACTTCCCCCTCCACCCAGGGTCCCCCAGCCCAGGGCAGCCCCAGTGAACCGAGGGGAATTCTTCCCCTCCTGAACCAAACCACAGAGCTTCTTGTCTCAGCCCCCTTCAGCGAGCAGAGGGAAATTCTCCTGCTCCTACACAGCCAGTTTTTCCTTAACTGCTGAGAGTCTGAGGCAAAACTAATGCAGGGGAGCAGGGGAATTTCCCTCCACTCCCTGGGCTATTCCTGAGACTCACAGCAGCTAAGGCAAGGGGTTGGGGTTGTGGGGGGAAAAATTCTCCTCAGCTCCCTGGGGCTGCCTGGGGCTGGGAGACCCTGGGCTGAGGTGAAGGAAAGTCCCCCAGTGTGGGGGCTCCCCAATGCCCCCATGCTGGGCTGCACGAGCAGGCACCCAGCCCAGAGCACTTCTCCCTCCCTCCTGTGGCAGTAGCTAAAGCAGTCAGCAGCTCAGAAGGGGGATGGGGGCAATTCCCCTCAACTCCCCAGGGCTGCCTAGGCTGGGGAACCCAAGCTGGGGGAAAACTCTTGAGGAGGAGGCTCCCCCAAGGTGGGCCAGCACCCAGACAGGGGGCTTCTTAATCCCCTGTGGGAGGACAGCAGGAGTTTGGGGACATTTGCCTGGGCTGGCAGTGACCAGCAAGCTGGGAGACTTGCTCTAGCACCCTGCCGCGTACTGGTCTGGGTCAGTACAGTCTTCCCCCGCCTTTCCCAATTGAAATTGAATATCAGTTCAGTTAGTTATCGGTTCAACCTACACAGCTTAGAGGAAGCTGTCTAGATTGAATCAATTCAGCCTCAGGCTTTTTGACTGTCTGTACTTAACCTGTGTGTATACCTAATGTGTTGTGCTTACCATTGATACTCTTTAAAAACAAACAAACCACAAGCAAATGCATAAGAAAACATATGTTGCGGGGGGTTGGGGTTTTTTTGCAATATCTTTTACTGGACCAACTCTATTGATGGGGGAGAAACTTGGTCAGTTTGGGGGCACATGCTGCCCTTTCCCAGGTCTGCAAGAACACTCCAACCCTGCTCCTAATCAATGCATGAAATTGTTTTAATTTGAACAGTTTTTAGCCAGTTTTTCTCTAAGAAATATTTTTTTTCATTAGTTGCCTTCCCTTAAAACAAACCGCTTTTATAATCCATTTACTCTTTTTTTTTTCTTTTTAGACTATCTGGCAACTATACAAGTATATACTTACACACAACACTTATATTTCCCAGGTACCCTCAATATAGCAAACTCAGCATATGTATTTATAGTTTAGCAACATTTTTGCATGCAGAAAATGAGCATGCTGAGCTTATGCTAAACATTATATAGAGTACCTAAGACAACCTTTTAAACTGGAAAAAGCTGTTTTAAAGTCAATATTATTGAATGTTATTATATTCAAATTTTCTTTGTCAACCAGCTTCTTAACACTAGAAAAATCAACTCTGAGCAAAGTTTCAGTTGCATTGAAATATTTTCATATCCCATATGGTTAGTGCATTTTTATTTGGATTTCTTGTTACAGCTTCGAATTACCAAACTGATTTATTTTCTCTTTTTTTTTTTCTCCCCTTTCTGTAGATAGTATTTCTAAGAATTTCATTACCCAGTCTCTATGACCAATGTCTTTGGGGAAAAAAAAACTAATGCAGCATTGGTTGTTTAGTCAAACTCATTAAAAAAAATCTGCTTACCTCTACAGCCTAGGCAAGTAGACGTTGAAATACTGCTGTAGCAGAAGGTGCGATAGGTTTAGTGAAAATAGTAGAATGAAGGTACTGTAAATGTGACAGTGTCACACTCCTCAGGAATGCACTGTAGAAACTAAACTAGGTGGGGCCTTACTTCTTTGTATGTAATAGAGTACCTGAGAACCAGACTGACCTGCTTCTCTGTCATTGTTGAGCTCTGTCATTAGAGAGTTCACAGAAATTGCAGACTTCATACAAAATGGATAGACAAAGGCCCATTGCTTCTATGAGGATTGCAAATCATTGCACTGATTTTCAAAAAGAAAGTAACAGCTTTCTATGAACTACATGGTATTGCTCTATAAAATAAACAGTAGACATTTTAATAAAGATCACTAGTGGTTTTATACTATGGTACACTTTCCTACTGTACATGTATTCCACATTAAAGGTGAGTGAAAAGGATTTGTTTTCAGAAGATGGGAAAGCAAAAGTTAGTCATAGTATGTCTTGATAGGTCTCACCTTTATAAAAATAGGAACAGTCTACTGAAAAAAATGTTTGCATGCTCTTGGAAACAGGCCAATACTTACAGATATGAAGAGCATTGAATCAGTAATTTGTAGGGAGTGGAAATTCAGGTGTGACCAGAAACCCAGTTTTCAATGTTTTTATACTTTTGAAAACTTGGATCCAAATATAAATCTTGCAACTGAGACCCTGCTCTACCTACTATATATAACCTTAAAGGTAAATTTGGCAAAATGGAAATAGAAAGCCCAATATACACCACATAACTTTTAATCTACAGAAGTTTTTAGGAACCTGCTGTTTTTATTTATTCTATGATATGTATTGGAGAGGGACTCAGAAGTATTCCAGTAGTCTCAAATTATTTCATAAGTTGAATATCATGACATTTTTCTCTATTAAAACTTGTTTTTTTGAAAGAATTAAGTACAACTGCTGCAGCATCGTTATTAGCATATTAATGATAGACTGTAACTTTAGTAAATTTAAGCCACTCCCAGTATGTGCTTAAATTATTCACTGCACCAGGTCTACAATCATGCAGCTTACTTTAAGCCTTGTGATCATAGATCAGGAATAGCATATGTGGACACTTTCTGGTGCTGGAAGGTGCATTGGGAACCTGGTGTAAGTAATTTATGGTGGTGGTTGGGGGGCAGGGTTGGCAGGTCCAAAGGGTGGGCCTGCAGCAGGGGCTGCTGGGTTCCCAGGGAAGGTTGTCTGGCAGTGGCTGAGTATCAGGAGTCTAAAAGTAGCCTGGTCAGGGTAAGGAAGGTGGATAAGAAGAGTGCAGCCCCAGGGCTGGGGAAAGCAACTGCATTCCAAACATGTGTAGACATTCACTACATCCAGCTAACCCATTTCTAATCTAAGTTAGTTCACCTTCCTCAGTTGAAATAATGTATATCAAGCCTACCATTTTTGGTCTGATTGAACCTCCCCAAATGTCTCCCCAGTTGGGCATTCAGATCAACCTAACCCTAGTTAGGTCCATCTAAATGTCACATCTGCACACACCCTTACAGATAGACTCTGGATTATGGAAACATGCATTAGGCCATTGGTTCTAAATGTTTTGAGATTTCAGGCTCCCCTCATCGGACTCAAGGCAGCCCTCCATAGGTTTTCTGAACTGAGTGTCACCCAGTTTCAAAAACTAATTTATATATCACAATACTTACCTTGCAGAGGGTCCAGGCAGTGGGCGTGTAACTCTGCCTCTTAGCCTATGCTTATTAGCTTATCTCTTCACACCTCACTTATCTCCTTACATTTTTTGGTGCCCTGGTTTAGAATCCCTCCGTTAGGCAACACTCTCCTCTCTGCTGTACGGTCTGCTTAAACAGGGTTTATTACAGAATCAGTGTATTATTTTTTTAACATTTCCTGTCATTGCAACCGCTACAAGTAGTAGCAATGTTGGGAGCTCTAAAATAGATAATGTAGACAAATCTCTAGCATATAGCCACTGTTTTAAACACCATGTCATCTAGACCTCCTCTGATCAGAAGTAGATGGCTTAAATCAGTGGTTGTCAACCTTTTTTGTATTGGACCCATTTGTAAACATCAATGGCCAGCCCCGGCCCAGTGCCCCTCACTCCTGACCCACTGCCCCCAGCACCCAGACCCCCAGTGTGTGGGGCAGGGAGGCCCCAAGCAGGCCCTGGCAGTCTGGCACTTTGCCAGCCTGCAAGCAGAAAGCCATGGTTTCCCACATTTTTCTTTTAAAGGAAAATCCATTTTTAAAGTTTGTTTGTGACCCTTTCATATATTCTTATGACTCACAGGTTGAAAAATGCTGCCTTGAATCACGAGCAGCCAGTCAGTGCTGGTACTTTCACCATTGTTACCACTGCTAAAGCAGCACCAGTGGAATGCTGCTGGAGGGAGAAGGAGAGTGGGAGGGAGGAAACCAGTTGTAGATCTATTAAGGCATGATCACAATTTAACCATTTATTATAGCTATCAGGAAATATTTCTAGCTCCTTTAGAGTATGTTGTAAGTAATCCTAGGACAAAACTATTATTTCACTAAGAAGTAAATTATATATATACTACAGCTCCCCTACAGCAAAATTGACTTTAATTGTTTGTGGATCTAGGATTTATTTTTTATTTTTTCATGAACAGTTCCATTTAGAGATTCTGCTGCTAAAGAATTAACATTCTTGAGTTATGAGCATGCAGAGAAGGGACACAAAGCCCTTCAGTGACTACAATGGTGTTTTGCAAAAGATAAAATTAGCCTACTTACTGTCTTAGCTGCTAGCAAGAAGGTTTGGGATTGAAAGAGTGGTTGGAAGTACAAAGGTAGGAAAGGTTTATTGATTTAATAAACACACAACTACGCATAGTATAACAAGACAACAATAACAGACAACAATATTTCACGTCTGCGACTTATTGGCAGTCGCCTCCGATGCCTGGTGTACAACAAGTCTCTCAAAGTTCAGTGAAGTCAGGCATCTCCAATCTGCGCTGTCGGGGTGGGGGGGCGGTACCAGGAAGAACCCTGGTTTTTGGTCCTCAGGCTTCTAGAGATCCGCCAGCCTACCAAACCCAGGTCAACAGCTAATCTTCAGAATGGTAGCTTTCTTTATGATGTTGCATCTTCCTTCTGCTGATTCTCAGATGTGCTAGCAAATTTATAGCTTTCTGAGCTACGCTGTTGGCTCACAGCCACTCACAATCTTACACTAAGAACTTTCCTTATTTGACTAACCAATAGCAGTATAAGTCTCTGTGTTTTCCTTATAAGGTCAATTTTAGCTGCACCACTGCTTACAAGGCCTTAACCTAGTTTTTTAAACTTTTAACTAAACTTTTCGTTATAACATACATTTTACAATACATGAACAAACAACAAGAAACACCTGGTCCAACCGTCACAGGGCACTCAGCAAGCACCTTTACCAGGCAGATACAACTCTCAGCTGCTACACTTACTACACTAGTTCTCTCAACTGATTGTTAACCAACTGTTTAGCTATAGAGTAGGCCATCAAGGTATCAGGTGAATAGAATATATTAAATATATAGGGGAAAAATAATATTGTACTCAGTCATAAAAGCATGCAATTCTTGAGTGATTAGTATGCTAATTCTCAAACTACAGTCTGAATCCTCCAGGCACCTAGCAGTACCTTTTGGACAGCATCAGAAGAGAGGCTGTTCTGGGATTAGGATACTGCATGAGGACATGGTCCAAAAGGAGGGCATCTTTCTCATTCTCACAAACAGGAATTGGTTGGTATAGTTGAACAGCAGAAGAACTGCTATTAGAAGTTTATTAGAAATCAAGGGCCAGATCAGGCACCTGTTCCTGGACTGAGGTGAAATCAGTAGAATTATGTAGTGTGAAGTTGTCATCTGTGACAGGAAGGGCAGCAGACTCAACCCCCAAGAGCTGCTTTGTTTTATTGGAGTCTGTGGTTATCAATAAACTGAGGCTCTGAAAGGAAATTATAAATACAGTACAGCTTTGAATTGGTCATATATGGGGCCCATTAGTATAGAATTCTTACTTCTTTTCAAAGAGAGTGGGGTAGTAATACACAGTAAGAACCAACTTGCTTTGTTGTTTTTTAAATAGGTTGTCTTTACCACCTGGGGGTATTGCCTGATATTAATGGAGTTATCTAAATAAGTCACTGACTGGAATTTTCCAAAAATCCCAACTGGCTCAAGAGCCCAAATTCCATTGAACATCTGTGGACATAGTTTGTAGCTCACCTAATCCTTTTTAAAAATATTATTCATTAAAAGGCACTGCACTCTAGTTATACCTGTATAAAACCAGAGCTACTAATAGCAAAATCTTTTTTTTTCCTCTCTTACCCATTTTCCAGTGTCCCAGTTCAATACACAACATTCAAGATGAGTCATTCTCCATTTTTTCCCTACCGCAGCAACAACCTTTCACTACATATAAGCTTACATCAAAACAGAATTGCTAACCTTTCTACTAAATCAATCTTCCCTGTTCAAACACCCTCAGCAACCATCCCATTCTTCTTGTGAATGATTAAGCATTGTATGAGACTCATTAGATGCATTATCAGCAGGATCACTGAGAGAGACATAAAGCCATCCACATGGCCCAGAATGAGTAATAGGTGGTCTATGCCAAAATGGTATGTAATACATAAAGTTGACAGTGCACTAAGTTCTTGGATGTGAAATTCAGATGTACTTTAGGGCCACAAGATAAACTGGAAAATGGTATGTAAGAAGTACTATTTTTTTAGTAAGGTGGAGCCTTTGTACATACCACAATTTTTGCCCTTTCTTGGGCTGCAACAGCATGACTGTTTGCACAAGTGGGTTTTCCAGATGCTTTAAAAGCCTTTCTGGTGCATTAAAGTAAAACTCCTTGGGCATAGTTTAGTTTGGCTCGCTGCAAATTAGTGTCACGTTCATGGATTCATTGTATGCAAACACAAAGGCACTCAAAGATGTGTAATGAGACTATTTGTCTACCAGATGGTAATGCAACTTTTTTGTAGTTCATCCACCCCCTTGAATGGCTTCTGCTTTCAAATTGC